TAGCGACGTCCACCGCGGACCGGGGCTCCCCACAGCTGCAGGGCGTTCGGTGTCGCCGAAGTAAACATGCACCCTAAACCCTCGGAGCCTGCGGCAGGTGGGGCAGCAGAGCTGGATTGCACGCAGGAGTCCGGCGTGGAGGAGTCTGCGGGTGACCACGGGAGCGCAGGCCCAGGGGGCTGCAAGGAAGGTGCCGACTGCCCCCCACGGAGGGTGGTGGGCAAGGGGCCGACACGGCTGGGCGCTCCAGTCCCCTTCCCACACCACATACCCGATCTTCACAGCCAAATAACAACAACAATAGTAACGGTAGCAGCCAACGCTCTGCAGTAGGGGCTTCTCTCCCCATTTCCTACAGAGGAGGAAATACTTAATATACTTAAGGGGTTATAAAACTTTCTCCAAACAGATAACCCTCGGCTAGTCAGTGACAGAATAGACTCGGCCGGGCGCGGTGGCTCACGCCTGTAATTCCAGTACTTTGGGAGGCTGACGCTGGCGGATCATCAGGTCAGTCAGGAGTTCGAGACCAGCCTGGCCAACATTGTGAAACCCTGTCTCTACTAAAAATACAAAAAATGAGCTGGGCGTGGTGGCGGGCGCCTGTAGTCTCAGCTACTTGGGAGGCTGAGGCAGGAGAATCGCTTGAACCCAGGCGGCGGAGGTTGCAGTGAGCCAAGTGGGACGCTGAGGTTGCAGTGAACCAAGATCACACCACTGCACTTCAGTTTGTGGGCAACAGAGCAAGACTCCGTCTCAAAAAAAAAAAAAAAAAAAAAAAAAGGAAGGAAGGAAGGAAGGCCGGCTTCAGCTTCTGATCCCACTAGACTAGACTTGGTGCCCTAAGGGAAACCTTTCAGTGATTAGATTAAAAAGCCACTTGATTTGTGTTCCAGTTTCTGAACCCAGGCAACAAATAAACCAGCTGATTTGTGTTCCAGGCAACAAATGTATCTTAAGCATCAACTGTCCAGATGAACCTTGTATGAGGAGCCATAGGGAACTGGCATTGCTCAGTGGAAAGGCACTGACCTTGCAGCCATTGACACTGGGTTCAGGTTGAGGCTTAGCAGTTGGTCAGTTTTATGGCCGTTGGCCCAGAGCTTAACCTCTCGGAGCCTTAGTCTCCTCATCTGTAAGCTGGGATAATTATACAGGAGTATATGGAGAGAATTGCAATTAAATGCTCCAGCATATAGTGGGCCATTATTAAATGGTAGCTCTTGTTATTAATTACATATTAATATTTATATATCGAGCGCTTATTCTTTATTTTTTCCCCAAACATTTATCTGTTGCTTCCTGTGGCTGGGCATTCTATGCAAAATTGATGAGTTTAAGAATCAGTCCCCCTACACACAGCCTTTAGTCTTGTTCAATACACCACACAAACACAGAAAGCAGTAGACAACCGCTCTTAAAGTTAAGTGCAGTTGAATTGGCCAATTTTGAATGACCTTTAAAAAAATTATTCATTTGAATGTGCTTATGTTATTTTTATCAAAGATATTCTCACTATTTTTGTTTCTTTTCATGTGATTTTCCTTTTGAAAATTTTTTTTAAGAGATAGAATCTCACTGTGTTACCCAGGCTAGATCTTCCTGCCTCAGCCTCCTGAGTAGCTGGGACTACAGGCATGCTCCACTACACCTGGCTTGAGAAATTTTTTAAAAGGCAAAAGAACAAAGAACATTAAAACAAATACCCATGTTTTGCCAGCAAGAACTGAAAATGATTAACATTTTATCATATTTACTTGAAGTCTTTTTTAATTAAAGAAATAAGTTCCCCCCAAACAAAAAATAAATAAAAATAAATAAGGCCGGGCAGGTGGCTCACGCCTGTAATCCCAGCACTTTGGAAGGCCAAGGCAGGCGGATCACCTGAGGTCAGGAGTTTGAGACCAGCCTGGCCAACATGGTGAAACCCTGTCTCTACTAAAAATACAAAAAAATTAGCTGGGCATGGTGGTAGGCGTCTGTAATCCCAGCTACTTGGGAGGCTGAGGCATGAGAATTGCTTGAACCTGGCAGGCGGAGGCTGCAGTGAGCTGAGATCCCAGCACTGTACTCCAACCTGGGGGATAGACCAAGACTATCTCCAAAAAAAAAAAAAAAAAAAGAAAACATTTCACATAAAGTTGGTGTTCCTTTTGTCCCCTGTCCCCCACCTGATTTCTAATCCCATTCCTTTCCTCCCTTGTCCAGAATTTTATATGGATTCTTGCAAGCACTTCTCTATACATATATGCCCTGAAACAATGTGTGGCATTGGTTTGCATATTTCTACTTTATATACGGTATCCTGTGCTTATTGTGAAACTTGCTTTTTTCACTCCATATACGTTTCTGAGAATTATCCCTATAGATAGATGTAGTTCTAGTGCATTCTTCTCAAAGGTAGAAAAGCAAGTCATTGTTTTTTGTAACCAGTCCCTATGGATGGACATTTACATTGTTAACAGTTTTTGGCTTTTATAAAAAATGCAGAAACAAATCTCTTTGTCCATGTTTTCTTGTGCACCTGTACAAAAGTTTTTATAGAGGACTACCTAGAAGTGAAATTTACATAGTCTTTGCCAGTGCTTTAAAAATTGTTATACCTTTAGGCCGGGCATGGTGGCTCACGCTCGTAATCCCAGCACTTTGGGAGGCCAAGGTGGGTGGATCATGAAGTCAGGAGATTGAGACCATTCCGGCTAACACAGTGAAACCCCATCTCTACTAAAAATACAAAAAAAAAGAAAAAAATTAGCCGGGCATGGTGGTGAGCACCTGTAGTCTAAGCTATTCAGGAGGCTGAGGCAGGAGAATGGCGTGAACCCGGGAGGCGGAGCTTGCAGTGAGCTGAGATGGCACCACTGCACTCCAGCCTGGGCGACAAAGTGAGACTCGGTCTCAAAAAACAAACAAACAAACAAACAAACAAAAAAAAACAATCGTTATGCATTTAAAGATTACTAGTGTTCTTTTTTTTTTTTTTTTTTGGAGAGACAGGGTCTCATTTTGTTGCCCAGGCTGGAGTGCAATGCTGTGAACACAGCTCACGGTAGCCTCAACTTCCCAAGCTTGAGTGATCAACCTGCTTCAGCCCCACAAGTGGCTGGGACTACAGGCACGCACCACTACATCTGGCTAATTTTTGTATTTTTTGTAGAGATGAGGTTTGCCATGTTGCTCAGGCTGGTCTCAAATACCTGGGCTCAAACAATCGACCTGCCTCAACCTCCCAAACGGCTGGGATTACAGGCATGAGCCACCATACCCAGCCGCTAAAGGATACTGGTGTTCTATAGTAAAAGTGGATGGTCATTAACCAAGCTGAAGTTGGGGGATATTTTTTGGTATATATCTTGATCTCTACAGACCTGGTCTCTTTTATTTTACAGAAATTAATGATCCTAAGGAAATATGTGTGGGTTCTTCTGCCACATCCTACCAAAGCCAGCAGAAACAGAGTGGTGATAATGGGTCAGGTGGTCACTTTGCACACCCAAGAGAAGACAGAGAAGATCGGGGCCCCAGGTATGTGGGCAGGCTGCCATGTAGTGCACATTTACGGAGTAAGGTGGATGATGTAATCACTCCCTTGTACAGATAAGGAAATAGAGGCTGGTAGAGATTGAATTGCCTGCCTGGTGTCTGAGAATGGAGTGAAGATGGCACTGCCTCTGCCGCACAGCTGAGCGCATATTCTATTCAGCTTTAATGCCAGACCTGCAGAGAGGAACAGCAGTAGTTCCTGATGACACCATTTAAAGTATTTTTTATTAGAACATACATTGCAATTTTTAGGCTGGGCACAGTGGCTCACGCCTGTAATCCCAGCACTTTGGGAGGCTGAGGCAGGCGAATCACGAGGTCAGGAGTTTGAGACTGGCTTGGACAATATGGTGACACCCCGTCTCTACTAAAAATACAAAATATTAGCTGGGCATAGTGGCGGGCGCCTGTAATCCCAGCTACTCGGGAGGCTGAGGCAGGAGGATCGCTTGAACCCAGGAGGTGAAGATTGCAGTGAGCCAAGATCGTACCACTGTACTCCAGCCTGGATGACAGAGTAAGACTCCATCTCAAATAAAAAAAAAAGAGCATACATTGCAATTTTTAAGAATGCTGAAAATAGGCCAAGCACAGTGGCTCATGCCTGTAATCCCAGTACTTTGGGTGGGCGAGGTAGGTGGATCACCTGAGGTCTGGAGTTCAAGACCAGCCTGACCAACATGGTGAAACCCCGTCTCTACTAAAAATACAAAAATTAGCCGGGCATGGTGGTGCATGCCTGTAATCCCAGCTACTTGGGAGGCTGAGGCAGGAGAATCGCTTGAACCCAGGCGGCGGAGGTTGCAGTGAACTGAGATTGTGCCATTGCACTCCGGCCTGGGCGATAAAGTGAGACTCCGTCTCAAAAAAGAAAAAATGCTGAAAATAATACTGGATGAGGCCCTAAAATCTATATAAAAAAGAAGAAGAAAAAGAAAAGGAGAAAGAGAAAAAGAAGAACTTAAAATAGGTATTAGGCATATAGGATGTTATAGAATTTGGGGCAGGAATGGATGTGGTAAAGAACTGTGAGAATATATTTTACAGCTGACAATTTGCAGTAAGCTTATTCATATTTTACATTTTAACAGAATGACTAAAAGTTCCCTGCAAAAACTCTGCAAGCAGCACAAGCTTTATACTACCCCAGCACTGAATGACACGCTGTATTTACACTTTAAAGGTAAGGACCTAAGAGAGGAAGTGCTTCATGTCGGGTGGAAGGATTCTGTCTAGCGGTATAAAAAATTACTTGCAGGGATCATCTTTAGTTCTCAGAATGTATCTAAGCAACAAATTTCAGAGTTTAGTGGAGATTTATGGAAAAGGAATAACTTTTATTTCAAGAAAAAGTCTTGCCTGACCAGAGTTTACAAAGGAGCCACTGGCTCTAGGAATACCAAGGAAACACATTATCTTTTATTGTTGTTTCCTAAGGAATTTCTTTTCTTTTTTCTTTTCTTTTCTTTTCTTTTTTTTTTTTTCAGATGGTGTCTTGCTCTGTTGCCCAAGCTAAAGTGCAGTGGCACAATCTCTGCTCATTGCAGCCTCTGCCTCCAGGTTCAAGCAATTCTCCTACCTCAGCCTCCTGAGTAGCTGGGTTGCAGGTACCCGCCACCACACCTTGCTAATTTTTGTATTTTTAGTAGAGGCGGGATTTCACCATGTTGCCCATTCTGGTCTCAAACTCCTGAGCTCAGGCAATCCACCTGCCTCAGCCTCCCAAAGTGCTGGGATTACAAGTGTGAGCCACTGTACCCAGCTAGGACTTTAATTTTTCATACCAGAAAGTTAGTTTGTAAGTACTTTGGGCTTGGGAGGTATATGTTGGGAAGGATTGCAGCTTGATGTTGGAAACAAATAATGAGGATCTTTGGGTGCCTCTTAGAATGGAGAGGCATGAGCAGGAGCCTGGGTTGGAGTCCAGTATCACATATAAATGGAAGCTCAGGTTCACAGACAGGGCTTTTCCCAGCCTGAGGGCTCCCAGCCTGTGCTGATGGGGTGACCAACTTGCTCATCAGTCCTCTCATTGTTCATTTGTTTCTTCGGTAGCTGCTTGCTGAGAGTCTACCGTGTGCCCAGCACTGCTCAGCACTGAAAATGCACAGAGGGAACCGGCAAATGTGTCTTTGGTGTCCTGGGGGATGGGAGCAGCTATTATGAGGATGGTGCCCTGGCAGGGAGATGCCCAAAGGGATCCAGGAGCACAAATGCCTCAAGGGATCAGAACAACTCCTATGGGTCTCCTCACCTCCACTTTTGCCCACTCCAAAATTCCCCATCCAGCATCCAAGTGTAGCAGTGAGTAAGATGATATAGGAGGACAGACCCCCGGGGGACTGATACTTAAGAGGCGGGAAGGAAAAAGGAACCAGTAAGTTTGACTAAGTAGAGACAGTCAGAGAGGTAGAAGAGCTAGGAGAGAGAGGTGCCCATATTAGTTATCTATTGCTACATAATTAACTACCCCGAAACTTAGCAACTTCAACTTACGATCTCACCCAGTTTCTGAGGGCTGGGAACTCGGGAGTCATGAGCTGGGTGGTTCTGGCTCAGGGTCTCTCATGAGGCTATAGTCAGACTGTCAGCGCAGCCTCACTCATTTGATGGCTTGAGTGGGGCTGGAGAATCTGCTTCCAGGCTCTAGGCCTCACCCTCATAGCTGTCAGCCAGAGCCCTTAATTTCTCACCACATGAGCCTCCCCATGGGAGCTGGCTTCCCTTAGAGCAAGTTACCCAAGAAAGGAAGCAAGGCCAAGACAAAAGTGGAAGTGACACTTCATCACTCCATTGTATGCTGTTGGTGTCAGGATCCACTCCTGTCTTACTGCATTGCTAACATGAAGGCATCGATACCAGGAGGGTGATCCAGAGAGCCTGAGGAGGAAGCTGGGAAAGGGGTGCAGGGCCCATGGGCCAGATGCCTTGGAATGGTCAAGGGCTAAGAGGACTGCCAATAGCATGTAGCAATTAGGATCTTAGGGAGACTTTAGCCAGGTGGTTGCAGTGATGGGGGGATCCAGTGGGTAGCAGCAAGTTGGAGATGGCTTGAACAGCAAAGAGGGAGGAGATGGGTTGAGAGCTAGAGCAAAGACCAGGGAGAAAAACCAGAATGTCAGAAACCGAGGGGACAAATAATCCAGTTTCTTCAACAAAAAACTGCAATGGAAGAAAGAGAGAGACACACACACACTCTAGGTTAAAAGTGATGTAAGGCCAGGCGTGTGGCTCTTGCCTGTGATTCCAGCAATGTGGGAGGCCGAGGCAGGCAGATCAGGAGTTTGAGACCAATCTGGCCAACATGGTGAAACCCTGTCTCTGCTAAAAATACAAAAAAAAAAAAAAAAAAAAAAATTAGACGGGTGTGGTGGTGCGTGCCTGTAATCCTAGTTGCTTGGGAGGCTGAGGCAGGAGGCGGGCTGCAGTGAGCTAAGATTGTGCCACTGCATTCCAGCCTAGGCAACAGAGCAAGATTCTGTCTGAAAAAAAAAGGTTGGCGGGGCGCGGTGGCTCACACCTGTAACCCCAGCACTTTGGGAGGCCGAGGCAGGCAGATCACCTGAGGTAAGGAGTTCGAGACCAACCTGGCCAACATGGTGAAACCCCATCTCTACTAAAAATACAAAAATTAGCCAGGTATGATGGCGGGTGCCTGTAATCCCAGCTACTCAGGAGGCTGAGGCAGGAGAATTACTTGAATCTGGGAGGTGTAGGTGTAGGGTATGGTGAACCAAAATTGTGCGATTGCACTCCAGCCCGGGTGACAAGAGCCAAACTCTATCTCAAAAAAAAAAAAAAAAAAAAAGTGACTTAAGAGACATCCACTAATTACAAGGTTCAGACCTTATTTGTATGTTGATTCAGACAGTAAACAGTTTGGGAAAAAAAGATAACAAAGAAGTGTGACCAGTTACTGGCTATTTGATGACATTGAGGAACTGTTGTTTAGACGTCACAATGGTGTTGTGCCTATCTTAAAGACGTAAAGACAAAAAAAAAAAGTTCCTATCTTTCATAGATACTGACTTCAGCATGAAGACCTTGGAGCAACATGACAAATATTTTCGCTACAAAAATTTTTGTGGAGAGAGTTTACAAGGAGGGAGAGCATCAGGAAGAATAGCTAATGGATGCTGGGCTTAGTACATAGGTAACGGGATGACCTGTGCAGCAAACTACCATGGCACACACTTACCTATGTCACAAACCAGCACATCTGGCACAGGAACCCATGAACTTAACATAAAACTTGAAGAAATAAAATAATCAAAATTTTTGTGGAAAAAAGATAGGATTTAAAAAGTCTATCTATACAATACCTATGTTTAAGTGTATTCTATAACTATTTTAAATATTATGTATGCTCATAGCAAGCTTGGAAGGCGAGAGAGAAAAATGAAAATGATTATCTGTTGGCAGGAACATGGGTGCATTTTTGCTCACCACTGATATGAAAAATGTGTAATAAAAACTTGTTCAGGCAACAAAATAAAGAACTTTAAAAAGTGTTGGTAATAGTAGGTAAAGCGTGAATTACACATTGATGATGAGTACTACACATTGTGAATTACACATTGATGATTACTAAAGGAAACTAAAACGTTTGTTTTCCTAACCCTAAATTTGGCTCATAAAACTGAGAAAGAGAACAAAAGAAGGCCTACAGTTTGCACCAGGGTTAGGCCTGGTGGGGACATTTTCAGGGCAGGTTTACCCCCACTGCACCCCCACCTCCACCCACTCCCTACCATGAAGGCAGCAGTAGGCTCCACCCTTTCAGGTGGGTGATTCCAGCAGAAAGACTATCCGTCTTTTCAGCAAGACCCCCTGGGCTGCATCAAAGTTGGTCTTGCTTGGCTAAGTGTGGCCACCCCCGAATGAGTCCCCATGACTCTGATCGGCTGCCCAGAGAGCCGTCATGTGGTATTAGGAGAAGGAAGGTTCCTCCAAGAAAAGTTGGTACTGGAGGAAGGGGCGTGGATGCCAGGTAGGCAGGTGTCTTAGTCTGTTTTGAGCGACTGAGATACCATAGCCTGGGTGGCTTGTAAACAACAAAAATGTATTTCTCACAGTTCTGGAGGCTGGGAAGTCCAAGGTCAAAGGACTGGCAGATATGGTGGCTGGTGAGAGCCGGCTTTTTCATTCTCAGATAGCACTTTCTTGCTGTATCCTCATGGAGTGAAGATGGCCAAGGAGCTCTCTGGGGCCTCGTTTATGAGGCCACTAATCCCATTCCTGAGGGTTCTTCTCTCATGACCTTATCACCTCCCAAAAGTCCCACCTCCTAATACGATCACATTAGGGGTTAGGATTTCAATGTATGAATTTTGAAGGGACACAGACATTCAGTCCCTACTAGTAGGCAAAAACAAGGGTGGCCATGACCCCTCTGCCCTGTGAGTGGGAGCTGAATTCCCATGTGCTTCCTTCTTGTTAGGTTTTGATCGCATTGAGAACCTGGAAGAGTACACAGGGCTGCGCTGTCTCTGGCTGCAGAGCAACGGAATACAGAAAATCGAACACCTGGAGGCGCAAACCGAGTTGCGTTGCCTCTTCTTGCAAATGAACTTGCTCCATAAGATCGAGAACCTGGAAGCTCTGCAGAAACTGGATGCTCTTAACCTCAGCAACAATTACATCAAGACCATTGAAAACCTCTGTAAGAGTACCCAGCAAGCAGTGTGCCTCTTTGCCATATGTCCATCACTTTCCCCTGAGGGAGCTTCTAAGATTTTATATTATGGGCAAGAAGTGTTTTTGGTTTTGTTTTGCTTTGCTTCTTTTTGAGACAGGGTCTTGCTGTGTCACCCAGGCTGAAATGCGGAGGTACAGTTACAGCTCACTGCAGCCTTGACCTCCTGGTCTCAAGCGATCCTCCCACGTCAGCCTCCCAGGTAGCTGAGACCATAGACGCATGCCACCAGACCTGGCAAGTTTTTCTACTTTTTATAGATATGGGGTCTCACTGTGTTGCCCAGGCTGATCTCAAACCTCCTGGGCTCAAAAGATTCTCCTGCCTTAGCCTCCCAAAGTGCTGGCATTACAGGTATGAACCACTGCACCTGGCCCAAGAAGCATTTTTATGCCTTTGTTTTTGACTTCTGCTGACCTTACCTTCCAGCCTGCCTCCCAGTCCTGAACACACTGCAGATGGCCCACAATCACCTGGAGACTGTGGAGGACATTCAGCATCTACGAGAGTGTTTGACGCTTTGTGTCCTTGACCTTTCACACAACAAGCTGAGTGACCCTGAGATCCTGAGCATTCTGGAAAGCATGCCCGATTTGGTAAAAACAAAAAAACAATGAAAAAGCACCACAGGAAACTACTTCTATTATTTTCATCAAATATCAAGTCCTTTTGTCTTTTTTCTCCTTCCTGGCTTCCTTCCTCCCCTTTTTCACACTTTTTTCCTCGTTGTGTTTTTAGCTGGAATATCTGAAATGCCAGATGTCATATTATTTTACCCTCAAATAGTTCAGTGTGTACCTCTGACAGATAAGGACTTTTTTTGGTTTTTTTTTTTTTTT